GCAGTACAGTACAGTATAGTAGTACTAGTAGTACTCTAAGCCAGCATTGTTTTAGTTGCTATATGAGATTTTCCTGTGTTAAAAACATGATTTACTATACTATACTTCTTTATAAAACATAACTTGTACTTTAATAAGAGAAATCTGTATATTATTGGTACCTGGAACGGTATATAACACGAAAATACTATGCTACTGCACCGTAATGCATAGGCCTATTTTAATACACTATTTAGATAGACTCTTTTTTTCCATCTTGATTTCAGGGGTCAAAAACATTTTTCAATTTTTTTTTTCAATCATATACGGTAGTGGTGTAGAATAATCTTTTAAGAACATTTTCCAGAAAAAATGAATGTGATACTACCCTCCGTTATGTAGTTATGAATTTTTAGATATGAGGACAAGAATTTAGTCTCAAAGCTTATCTTATTTCTGTTGGTTACGCACCACTGACTTGGGTTGTTTGTCAACACTTCAAGTCTACCGATTCGTGGAAAAAGGCATATTCCTTTTGAGAAGGGAAGTTGTAGCTTGGTGGTAAATGCCAAGATGATTTATATTTTGAAAAGCTAGTAATGTTTAAGAATATATTAATTATGATTTCCAATCATTTTTTTTTCTCTTTGAAACAACTAACAGTAGGATGCTGTATTCACCAAGTCTTACTATTGTATGAGGCTAGTGAAGTTAATTGCAATTGTAAAGACAAAATCCACTGGCTTTATAGATGAAATTTTTCAGTGTTTGAAATTTTTACAAACTTTTTATTTTTATGCATATTTTTTAACTATGCCAATTGTCCAATTATTTTGTGCATGTTGTGCATTGTAATTGGATAATCTAATTTTCTCTGAAGACAATTTTGCTCCTCAGTATTCTGTTTAAACTTTTTTGTTTTTCATTATCTATTCATTTCTCAAATCAGATATCCAACCCTGCAATTTTATTTACAGATATTATATACCTGTATCATATATTTAATTTTTCCTTAATTTACTACTTGAATATTATAATTTTAATAAAGGATTTTTTTTTTATCCAACTTAGTTTACCTGTAATATTTTGATGATGTGACTTTGTTTTATAGGTTCATAAAATTTTGCAATGTTTTGGCCTGGCATTCCGGCGGGTACCAAGAAGTCCAGATGTGATGGAGTCATCAATATCAACATTCCCGATGTCCCCGAGTGAACCACTTCTCAGCTTTGTAATTCCCGTCACATTGGATATAAAGGAAGAGGACGGAAAGGGCGGGTTCACCCATGTACCACGGGAGAAGAAGTGCTTCAAATTAAGGCAAAACCTAAAGAAAGAAGTTCTTATTACTATCTTTCACAGGGAAAGACCATTGCCAATTGAAAGGTATGAATGAATATCAAAGTATCTTTTATTCAAATAAATTTTTACATAAAACAGTCTGTTGTAGAACTAATTCTGAATTAAAAACCTGAGTTGTTAAATAAAAATTAAATAGAAGAAATCCAAGAAAAATCACATCAAAACAGCAATGATAAAATTGTACAGCAAAATATAATGAAAATAAGGAATTCATCATCTCCTTCTGGATGGAGGGCCAACTTCCTAGTTAAAGACTTGAGATGGATGTGCACTACTCATTCTTACAATTTGCTTCTCCCCTAAGGGTTCTGTTGTGTCTTGCGCACGCCAAGAAGGCATGCCATCTAGTCCACAGTGGCAGGGGCTGTGAGATGAACCAGTACACTGTGGTAACCCCCTACTCATCTTGAAAGATGTACTGGATTCTTTACAGCGCACCTGAGCCAAATGTGTACATTGGGCTTACGGTTTATAGTCCTCATCTGACAAGATGAGGACTGTAAACTCCACCTCCAGAACCCTAGGCAAGCGTGTCATTTGAACCAGCGCCGATATTATGGCTGTAGGTTGCAGCGCCCCTGCTTTAACCGCTCAGCCATTTGACTCGCCTCACATAAATCGTAATATCAGCCATATGGCATGATTTGTGAATATCAGATTGAAATCTTATGGAATGATTTATTTTACTTTGATTAGTCTATGTTTTTTGTTAAGATTATGATATTACATTGTAGCAATAAATAAATATAAAATTGGTTTCTCAGACATTTTCTCATAATACTAGGATTAAGTAGTTACTACTATGCTACTGTTTATACCATAGGTGTTTTGGCCTTCTTATAAGCCCAGGGCGGGATGTACCAGACCGGCATATGCACCTTTTAGACATGGTAAGTATAGTATAATACATAGTATAATATAATAGCATTTTCTGATTGTAATTAGATTATATTACATAATTATTATTGTCATCTTCATTGTTATGGTTATCTTTATCATCATCTTCATATTTTTGTTACGTTTATGCGTAACCTGCTTTTAGAATAAATATGATTTTACTAGCTTTTTACCCTTTTGAACACACTGTGATGGTTGTGAGTGCCGCTAATCTGGAAGTGTTTTCATATATTGGTACTATTGTCAACAGCAATTTTTTCATCATTGCTGCTACCACTGCCCCTTTTCTCACCTTCACTGCCACTGTCAGCATTGTAATATTTCTAACATTACTGTTTTTTTTTGTGTTGTCTTTATTGTGGCTGTTCTTGTAAATATTATTGTTATTGTCACTATGATTATTGGTATTATTTTCATTTTTTTTGTTTTAGTTATTGTTTTTTTTTTTTGGGTTATTTTATAGTACTCTTTTTATTCCTTTTAAACTGATTAATTATTATCACTATTATTATTATTATTATTTAAACTGATATTATTTAAACTGATTAATTATTATCACTACTATTATCATTATTATTCAATTTATTAATATTATATTTATTATTATTATTAAATTAAAACATTATTATTACTATTATTATTATATCATTAACACATTCATATAGTCATATAATAACACACACCCACCATAATATCATTACCTGAGTCATGTTGTTTGTGACTTTCATACACTCATGCACATACCTGCACTTTGGTTGTTAAGAGTAATGTAAACTGAACCAAGATATCCATAACAGGAGAAGCTGAAGATCAAGGACATGACCATTATTGCTTGATAACATTTTATTACAACAAAACAATTCTCTTGAAATAAATTTTCTCCGAATCACATTGCTATTGAGTCAGTGACCAGCCATGTGTAGTTTAAGAAGTAGAGATAGACTAAATGATTGTTTATGATTAAAAATTTGGATTCTGAAGGAAGAGGGATGCTTCCTTCAAATAAAAGCACTTAAAGGATCTTCGATCAACAAAATGCTAAAAATGTTGTTTTATTTTTGTGGTTGCTGCTGGTGTTGTGTTGTGTTGTTGCTGTCATTGTTGCTGTTTTTATTGTTATAAACCTCCCTGTACATGCCTGTCTCTGGCTGGCACAAAATGGCTGTACCCCTTCATTAAAGCTGACCTTTGGCTACTTAGGTGCATATGCTTTCCACTGGTGGTGATTCATGGCAGCCTCCCAGCTGAGATTTTGATCCAGTCTGCGTAGTGCTCCCGGAGGAGTTTTTCCGATAATTATCTGAATCTAGGTTCACCATGACGGGAAAAGGCGACAATAACAACAGATCAATGCTTTCTTACATTATCTTAGCAACGTTGTGATATCCAAGTGTATCCTAGGCATTTGTGGTCAAAGCCTGAGCGCGAAGAAATAACTGCACGTTATAAATAATGATAATAATAATAATAATATATAAAAATAGTATTTAATATAAAAAATAATAGATAAAATAGATAATAGTTACACTATTACCAAAATTCAGAACATTGAAACAATCTGTTAGATGATTCGTCTTGAATTATTTTTGATCTAAATGTTGTGATTATAATTGTGTCTATAACTCATGAAGTTGTTCTTCGGCTTAGGTGACAATGAAGCAGAGTAGTGATTCCAAATCATACCAGCTGAAGAGCTATTGGCACCCTACGCAGCAAGAGTTTGAAGTACTTAACACAGAGACACCACAGGGTAGGTACACCAATAAAATACTACTATATTATTAGTAGTATGTAATGGAGAGTGGTAAGTAGCAACTTGGTGAATATCTTCACCTTTGCTGCAGGAGCTAACAAACACTTGAGGTCTTGTTACTAGCTGTCTGCTTAGATTATTTTATTTCTAGATGTCAGGTCTACAAATACACATGCACTCAATCAAAAGCGCTGAAGTTCAGTTGGCTAAACTGGTGGTAGCCACTCTATGCTCACTGAACTGTAGAGATCCTTTCAGACCCTTGACCCCTGGCTTAATTACATCACCGTTCTTCACCGTTATTTAAGTGATGATGAGGTTTATCAATTATCAATAATAAAATTGTTACTGGTTTTTTTAAACAGACTCCTTTTTTTTTGCCACTTAGGGTACATATATATGACTGTGGCTGTTGATTTGGTGATAGCAGGCATACAAGAACCAGTGCGTTTTATAATTGAGACACGTGTTCGCATCTACCCGCAGAATGAACGGTTTTGGTACTTCGGTAAAAAACCAATCAGGGAAACTTTCTATATCGAGCTAGAGCAGGTATATCTTTTAAATTTTACCGTTCATCATGATTCACCGAATCTTTGAACCTTTTAATCTTGTGTCTTGTACATTGATGTGTTTCTGTATACAGCATTTGTTTTAAATTTTTTCTTTATGAACGCACCGTCAATTGCTACGCATGACGTGCTGCTGATGGAAAAGAGTAGTTTTTTCCAAATAAAGTATTAATTAATATTAATATCTTGCACATGATTATATATTTGACTATATTTTATGTTAGTGAAACATATTTTTGTTTATAGTGATACAAATTCTTGCGTATTAAACACAACATTATGTTATGATATTGCATGAAGCTCTGTCCACATTATGCCCATATATAGTCATAATGTGCCTATATATGGTCATGATATGATGTCATCATGACCATATGTAGAGCATGTCAAATTTGATAGTCTTGATAAAGCTTTACACAGTTATGTATCTTTCATATCCATTTTGTAATAGTTTTTTTTAGTTGTTTATGCTACATCACACTACTACCCTATCATTAGATCAAATTAAACATCTATAGAACATATATTTTGCTTATTTGGGGAGTAGTCATATAAGGTTGCAGCTAGTAACTTTGAAATTTAATTTAAAATGAAAACTTTTCTTTGTAGACACAAATTGGAGGGTTGATTGATAATGAGATTCTATATAGAGTTCAGAGTTTAGAGAGTGAGACACAAAGGGTTAAGAAGCAAAGCCTGCCCTCATCTCCAGCAGTTGGTGCTAAGATGGTGCAGACGCCAGACAGTTTAAGCTCTTTTCCTGAGGATGAAACAGGTATTTTTCTATGCATCCTTCAGTTTTTCCATCCATTTATTTATTCATAGCCCCATTCATACAGCCATTTATCCAGCCATTCATCTAACCATCCATCACTTTCTTTCTTTGTACATTCATCCATTTACTTATTACCTAGCTTTTCACCTATTAATTCACCCAGTTATTTATTGTTTTTATTCATCCATCCATTAATCATTAATTCATCAAGCCATTTATCAATTATATCATATATCCATCAATTCTTTTATTCATTTGTTCATTTTTCCAGCCATTCATCAATATTTTCATCCATTCATTAATCACTCAGTTCATTCATCTATCCATTAATTCCTGCATTTATTCAGTCATTCATCATTTTTTTAGCTAATCATTCAATTATTATTAATTAATGTTTAGTCCGAAGGCCAAGGTTGTGCCAAAGAGCAAACTTAATCACTTTTATAGGTGGCATATTTCTTCAAAAGACAAATATAAACACAAGATGCTCTACATAAACTAAGTATCATGAAGGGAGTGGAGTTGTTTTGGTCATGAGAAAAAATCCTGTGAAAGGAATTTAACCCAGGACCCGCCAAGCTATTAAATTCCACACTTATTCCACTATTCATCTATTAATTTGTTCATATATATTTCTCCACGCTATTTTTTATCAATTGATTTGTCTAGTCATTCATCTATTTATTCATATTCATTTATCTGAACATTTATTGTATCCATCATCCATCCATTCATCTTTAAATTACTTATCCATTTAGCTTGCTATTCATCTTTTTAGTCATTAATCTGCACATTTTTTTTAAAATTTCTAAAAGTGAAATGGATTGTGTATTTATGGTCAGTGCTGCGTAGCATTAATGAGCAATAATTGTGTAGCGATATTCAATGTAGCATAGCAAAAGGGCGGTAGTGGAAAAAATTATGTAAAGTGGACGCTCCCAACAAGTGTTTGGGTAATTTTAAGGATATATGTACTGTAACCCAATGAACACTGATTTTGAATGTTATATTGTGTCTTTAATTATGGAGGGTATATTTCTATTTATCACAAATTTATACAATACTTTATTTTTCATTATAATTTGTAATTGCAGATGACGATGAACCACTACAGAGTGGATCAGGCACTGTGGGTAAAGACTGCGCCGAAACTGTCCTCGTCAGCTGGGGGGATCTACTAACCAAATGGAGGCAAGACCTCAACACTAGGCCTAAGCAATTGGTACCACTTGTCCGGAAAGGAATTCCAGAGGCATTACGGGGTGAAGTCTGGCAACTACTTTGTGGCTGTCATGACAATAGCGACATGTTAGAGCATTACCGACGTCTCATAGTAAAGGTATGTTGAAAATAGTCCATTCTCAGCATGAGAACGACTCAATAACTAGATATGAGGCTTGCCACCTCAAAACCAGCATATATACTGTCACCAAGGTAATTCAACAGAAGGACACACATCTCCGCTCTCGAACATAGCGCGTGCGTACAGTCCTTTGATCTTTACTGTGGCATCGACAATCCGATACTAGTTGCGAGTACAGCCGTCAATTATTAGTCTATGCGTTCCATTCGTTTTATGGTGTTTTTTTTTTATTAATTGTGGGTACTTCGCAATGTCTGTTATATCTGATTTTTTTTTTACCGCGAGCTTGTTAAATGCCTCTATAAACTGCAATTTGATTTGTGAAAATTGACCAAGAAAATGAAAAGTTATAGCAATTTAAAATTTACGAATTTTATAAAATTTCATGTTGTATGTAACATTAATCTGTCATTTTGACAATGTTGGCATAAGGTGTCAAAAAGCGAACATATGAGTATATACAGAACATTTATTAATTTTTTCTTTGAAGTAAGTCTCATGAACGACAATTCACCACAATTTTGGTAAAATTAATGTTGAATTGAAGAATATAATTTCAGTCTAATGTTAGTGCAAAATATCATTAGGCCTTTGTAATCACCGCACGACGCGCGATTATCATGGCAACTAACACGCGCGTGAGTAATTTGTCACGTACGCTGATGGTTTATGGTCTGGTTGCTATGGTTTTGTGACGTTCAGCGTGTAGGGACGCACGTGCGCCTAGAATGTCGATGCCAGAGTTATAACCTTTGATGTCCCGAGATGTGCGTCCTTCTGTTGAATTGCCTTGCTGTCACTAATTTTTAAACTGGGTATAGTATAAAAAGTGGCAGCATTATAGACTTTAGTACAGATGAGCCGTAATACTTTTACTCATTACTTTGGCAATTGTAAGTCAATTTCAGCGAATGGCCCATCATTTAAAAGCTTATAATGTGGAGATTACGAATATATTAAAAAGTATATATTAAAAAGTCAATTTTCATTTTCTTTTGGTCACGGATGTTGGTTTTGGGAAGGCAAGTAACATATGTGTTCTGGTCGAAGGGTTTTTATTCTTTTTTGGTCAGATTTCTTGTCTGATACATTTCATTTGGATATTTATTCATTATGTAATCAAGATTCTTGTTTTTGAGACAGTGAAAATGAGTGCTCTTCTGATAGTAACATTAAATCAGACTTGTTAATGTAACTGAAAGCTTCAATTGCAACTGGCACTCAATGCTAAAAATAATGTGAATATATATCTTTTATATATTGGTATATTTTGTGTCTTAATGTTTTTGTATGTCAACTCATTTAGCCTTGCGTGCTCCCAGTTTTGGGACACTGTTCTGGGCTTATTTGTTTCCTGTATTGTTTTTATGCAATAAAGTGATTTTATATATATATATATATATATATAAATAAGAAAAATGATCCAATAGCATACTTGTAGGGAACAGTGCCCTCACTGTAGTATACAGTGATACTGTGAACAGTGCCCTCGTTGGGAGACATCCTATTCTCCTCGGTTCCTTTTATGTTTTAGAAACTCCGTGGGAATCGGACCTGTAACCATTGAGAGCCTTAAGTCATTGCCCTTTGGACCACGACAAACTTATCTAAAAAGTTTCATTCAGATCCATTGATCAGTTTTTGAGTTATGTCTGGGATGTTAGCAATTTAAATGACCCCTTAATTCACACCCGCATCTGGATCATCACCACAATTTAGTATTGTCTTCTTTGTAACATGGTTAAGTTTTCCAAAAAGTTTCATACAGATCATTAATTAAAATTAAAAGGAAACTTCAACTTAATATCAGCAATCATCTGTGATAATCTGATGCATGTAGACCTAAAACTGTAGGCAGGAGGCTGATAACAAACACACAACACACAACCACACCAACTCATACAAACAAAATCCCATGAAAATATAACCTCCTTGCGGAGGTAATAATTGTATGTCCTTTTTTTTTTAGAAAAATGAACCCCAAATCCTCTACCACTTCCTCAGTATAAGGAAAGCAGATGTAACATTTTAATGGAGGATGTATCGTATTCATTTCTAAGAAATCTTTAACTCTGTATGTCACAATTTCAGTTCAAGGAAATATGGATAACATGAAAATGTGCATGGTGTATGTTGTTAATATAAATCACTATTATCAACATGAATCTGGTTTCACTTTACACCGGATGTAGTGTCGCAATATCATTAGGAATATTTGTCACATAATTTAATGGCCAAGTTTGGGATCCGGTTCATTTAGCAACATGTTTAATGGATTGGGTGCTCAAAGTTTAACCATAGTCTGACAAAGTAAATCAGATGTTTTAATACTTGTATTCTTTAATTCTTTGTTCCTTGTATAATTCAACCACCTCCATGATTCATACGGTCAGGATAAGGGAGTCAAGCTAGTCCGGTTGAGAAGTTTGTAGTCTGAACTAGCCTTGGTTGATTCATGTCTGGCTTGTGATATTACACTCAATCCAGACCATTCAACCCAGGCAAAGTACACTCAGGTTGCTCCTGGGTTGACCTTGTGCTTTTTTACCTTCTCACTGTAGCGTCTGGTCTACAGGTGACCAATCACAGCTAGCGAATAGTAGTGTGAACGCTCAAAGTATGTCAGGTGTGATACATGTGCCGGGTTTGAATGTATACTGGCTTTAAAGCTGTTCTGAACATAACCTAAAGTCCTTCTTGTCAATACATCAGTCTGAGAGTAAGTCCAACTCACTTGATGGTTCTGGGCATCATTCCCTTGTAGGTTGCTTTTCCAGTTTTGAATTATAATTCTGTATTGATGTGTTTTATTTATTTCATAAGCTCTCTGCATTCACAAGATGATGCCTGGGATAAATTCAATCTTTCTATTTGGGAGGTTGAAGTTGAAGTATTTTAAAGCCAGTATAAAATTTATGGAAGCTTCTTCACAATGTAAAGTGGGAAGGGCCTTTTAAAGAAAAGCACTTAATTTTAAATATCAAAAATTCTAAAAGGATTTTACTATTAGTCCTTCAACTCTTGCCCTTTCATTAACCTAATTATTATTATTGTCCACTTAATATTATAAACCTGTTTAATAATAATAATAATGAATTGATTCTGCAGTAAAATAATCAAAATTTAATGGAACTTCTAGAGGCGAAGTATAGGCATTTTTCAATATTTAGGTTTAATATACTGTATGTTGTTTAAGTTTTACGGTTTCTGTTTATTGTGTTTAAAGTTTAATTTTAACATTGTTAGTATTTTTTTTAATAATAATTAATTGATTTTTTGTTTGATAATAATATAAGTCTCATTATAAGTCATAGTTTTGGAGTATCACTTACATCCTGTACTTAAACTAATGAGTCATTGAGAATAAGTTAAAATACAGTATAGTAAATCATAATGTTTTTTCCCTTTATCAGATTTCAAATTTCCTGTGCCAAAAAACTATTGTATGCCCATATATATTCATGGGGTGCCTATATATGGTCATGTTTTGATGTCATTATGACCATATTTGGCATGTCATGTTTTTGTCAAATAAAATTTGACATTATGCACATGGATTTATGCTGTATAGTATATTAAACCCTAAATTTAATGTTGTACACATTGCTGTTTCGTTGATAAGAATAGTATTAAAACTCTTAGTTTGTTAATTTAACATGAATGAAATTTGATATAGTATTAGTATACTAGTATATTTAGTGACAATACAATTTTTTACTGAAGATATTCAGATGGCTGACTCTTTGTTATGTAAATTAAAACATTAAAACTCTATAGTGAAGGTCAAGTATGCATTGATATACTTGGTTCGGTCAAGTTTTTAAAGATTAATCGTAGACATACAGTATTAGCGTTTTGTCAACATTGATCTGATTTAGGCTATGTTCTCATCAAGTCTGGTGTAAACATGTTGAGAATTCACACATACTGGGTTGACCTGAGTTCACCTAACTCAGCTAGCAGAAATTGCCAAGTTTTTAACTTTGCATGGCTTGCTGTGTTGGACACTTTGTGGCCAGAGGCTACTTTGAGACAATAGAAGTTTCACCCAATCTCAACTTAGGGTCAACCTGGGTATCTTGCCTGGGTTCAGAGCGATTTCAAACCAGGCGTGAATCAACCTAGGTTGATTAAATTATGGATTATTCAAGACAAACTATCATAGCTTTAACTTGGATCTCTACTCAGCTTGTAGCTTTCTTGCATGGAGTTATAATTAATAAGAACTATATTTGTTATTTATATTTTATGGTGTCCATGGTTGTTCGATGTGGGTGGTGGGGATTTATCCGCTGACTTCCTGCTGGCATGCCACTGACTTCCCAGTAGGAGCAGCAATGCATCCCCTTTTATTTCTTAGCCACTGTGCAGCAGGATTTGCACTTCATGCCTGACCATTAGAATTTTTTGTTTTTCTAGTCTTTTTCCTTCCATTCTTCTAAATTTCTTTCCTAGAGCTTATACATCATCCCTTCTAGCAATATGGCACTTGTACCTCCTTTAATTAGCTGTTGAATTTTGACATTTCTAGGACTTTTCCGATTGGTTTACCTGTCTATGATATCTATAGCATTTTTTTTACCCCATGCCCTGTACAGTTAAGATAAAAGTCACTGGTATAGTAAGTACAGGAAAATCTATTCTTCAAAATCCTATTAATAGATTGTGTTGTATCAGAAAGTGAATCCAGATTTGACTAGATTTTAAGCTATTTTTTGGTTTTCTAATTTACATATTATCATGTTTTTTTAAATGATTTATATTACATTTGTTTTACCCCCATGCCCTGTACAGTTAAAGAAGTCACTGGTACAGTAACAATACAGGAAAATCTATTCTGCAAAATCCTATTAATACATTGTGTTGTGTATCAGAAAGTGAAACCAAAATTGACTATCTATTAAGCTATTTTTTAGTTTCTTAATTTGCATATTATTATGGTTTTTTTTTTAAAGTGATTTATATTACTTTGTATCTTCTAAAAAAAAAAATTCAAATAAAGAATGTTATTAATTTCCATTGAGACACAGATCAAAACAATTTAATTTTTGCTGTTTTACAGACTTTTTTTACTATAAACATTCTTTTTGTACTTCATACAGTATATTTATGCATCTACTATTATGACAAGTAAAAATAAAATATTTTAATTGTTCTTATTAAGTAATAGACTAACTTAATACATAGTACAAATTCACATTCAAATATAAAATTCTTTTTTATCTGAATAAATAGTATGTTTAAAATTCTAGATCAAAAAGTGAAAGTGAAAAACAAAACAAAACAAAAATAACCATGCAAAATTTATATTTTTATATGTCTTGGTTGGTGTGTTAACATTCCACCACCTAAAAAATGAGTACAGTATATTTTAACGATAAATCTTTTAAAGTGGATTGGCTTATTTCCAAGAATTTGAGGATATAAAAATCATCAGTGAATATAATACAATGGAGAGATTACACCATACATTCACTTCAACAACTTTTAACTTTCACCCACTGTATAGCTCTAGATATACCACATGTATGATTTTAGTTTTGCTTGCCTTGGGTCTAATTTCATTTTCAGATTGGATACTGTAAACATGTAATATTTATATAAAATTCGATGTGATGATTTTTTGTTTGGTTACCATAAATGCTTGAATAAGCGCTGCTCTTGAATAAGCGACGCAACAAACCTGATTTTTGTTTCTAAGCGCTGCTCTCAAATAAGCGCCGCCTCACTTTTAATCAAGAGTATATTATTACCCTGGGTGTAATGAAACACTTTGAGAAACAGGGTTTTAAATACAATGTATACAGTGTTAAAATAAAGAAATAACACGATGAAGACAAACATTTCTTTTTAAACATTTATTTACGATGACTAGGACCTATGATAGGCCTACCGATCTATAGGAATACGTGAGATAGGTATGGGAGTGGGCATGGAAGCGCCACTCTCGAATAAGCACAGCACTGATGGCTCCGAAAAATTTTTATAAGCTCTGCGGTGCTTATTCGAGCATTTACGGATTATGCAGAAAATAAAATAATAATAAATTCAAATAAAAACAATTCAAGTACAGGGTTTTGCTGTTAAGGCCAACTCAGACAGTGTCATGTGATGCAGAACAACTGCACTTATGCTCATGTTGGGTCAGTGTGAGTTAAGTCATCACCGTTTTCACAAAGAGACACAAACTTCAAGTTCGACTAAAACGTTTTGAGAAAAACATGTTTGAAGTGGACTGCTTCACAAACTAAATTTCACTATGAAGATATCAAAATTTTTTTACGCATGTTTAAAGGTAAAGCATTAAACAATTAAAATGTTCAAATAATTTTTCTTTTCTTAACCTGTTAATTAGCATGAAATTTTGTGCCTCATTTTGAAAACGAAAAAGATCATTTTACATGCTGTACACGCTCCGTCGTCGGACACAAAATGTATTTTAGCCTATGCATTAATTACCATTGTAGTCAAGGGTGATTATAGGCCCAGAAACTAGGCTTATCCTGCTTAAAGCATTTTTTTAAACTGATAATTCCATACTCGATGTATCAAGTGTAGGCCTATTCCAAGTTATATTGAGAGAACGGTATTGCCATGCCTAGGAAAGTTAGCTGGCCCTACCCCAGCTAGGCCTTATCTAGCTGATCACAACGCCGCATACTCGTCTTCTGATAACCCGCTGAAAGTTTGTCGCTTTGTGAAAATGAAAAAAAAATCTGTTTTCTCAGTTTGTGTGCTATGGCTAATTAGTCTAATTAACTAAATAATGTAGTTGCACTCTTAACAATTATGTGAAAGGTAGAGTTCAATGTACATAATCAAAATTTCAAAAAAAAATATGATTTTTTAAGTTTGTGTCTGTTTGTGGTGTTGGTGACAAAATTCAGATACAATAAATCTGCATTAGGGATAGTCATGTCGTAGAAAATTAAACATGTTTAATACTCTCACAACGAGGTAATACTGTCTTTGGCCCAATCGTAGGTATCACAATCTACATAATAGGCACTTTTCGATTTTCGTGTCAACATAGTCGACGTCTTGACATGATGTCATTTTCAAGCACTGCGCATGCGCAATCCTCAACCCCTCATTCATCACCAGATTTGAGAACGCGTTCACACCAGTTTTCACCGTCGACCCAAATCTACTCGCCCTGTTGACTGTATATGACGTCATTTTTTCAAGATGGGCGATACCGGACCCACTGAAAGGATCTTACTAGGCCTAAGCAGAGGCCTAATTCTATGTAATTTTTCAAGTAATTTCTTCTCTGACATCGAACAAGTTTACAGTTTACAGGTTGATTAGCATTGTACAAAAACTTTTCATCGTCAAGCACATCGCTGAAATATCCGAAGAGGATCGCTTCTCGGACTCTATGAAGATTCGCCATGATGGTAAGGACTGATCCTTGCTCAAAAAGTCATCATGTTGACTCCTCGTCGACTGAAATCGAAACTGATTTCAGCGGTGGATCACCATGAGCCGTGAACGTGTTGACGGTCGCCTGCAGTTGACGTGAACATGCTCGTCGTTCGCTCAATCGAAAAGTCCCTAATTACTGTATTTATATTTTTGATGATCAAAATGGAATAATAAGGCAAACAGAATTTTGTGTCCAAAGCCCAGTGACATGGAAATCAAGGTCTGCCGGTCAACAATTTCGTATAAAAATATATTTTTTACTGTACAGTAATTGTATAGGCTAAATTTTAGAGTTCATTCACATATGCCCCATACATTTTCTTAGGTAAAATGCTAACCAATAATAACAATTCAATTCAGGATTCACAAACCCATGGTTAACTATCTAATTTCATTAATAATTTTGTGCTCCTTGGTAAAAATGCTGACTTCTTTTTTGAGATATTGTGTCAGTTGGGCATTGGGCAAGTGGCCTATTATTATTAATGTTATTTATTTGGCAAACCAGAATGATCAGTATTTGCACAATGAAACCTCCAGATGTATAAAAGTTGAGGTGTTTATAGTGTATTTATGGTAATTTGTAAAAAGTGCATGGAAAAATAACATTGGCTCATTTCGTTTAATAATATTCAACATTTATGTTAAGGTCCTCGCAAAGTTTCCTGATCATTTAATGGCAATCATAAATGAACATTTTCCACTCACCCTGAGAGCATAACTGTTGAAAATTATTTGCACACAAATTTGAGTAAGGGCAGACACTGACCACTGTGTAGTGAAAACATATTTTAATCAACAATATTTATAGCAAGGTTGTTAATGATTTAAGTTAAAATGCAAATTTTTGAAGTATATAACTATACCCTGTTACAACACATACATTTTTTAGGAAGCTTCCCACAATGGTACTGGCATTCTGTCTTCATTGATCTCAATAAACTTTTCAAACCAGCTTGGAAAGATTTATGTGTGATACTATAGATAAGACAGTTCAAGAAACTGTTGAAAATTCCCATCCATGCTGTTAGAAAAGATATAATTGGTTTTATTTCAACATTGCTTGTACCCTCAATAATCCGTATAATAATAAATGGTAGCCAAGTTATATAAAATGCGCTTACAATGATTAGGAATATCTTAGCTACAGTTCGTTCATGGTTTTTTCGGCTTGTGTCGCTTTCGAGAGAGTCTGAAGTGGCATTGTCCGTCGAGAACTTTTCTACCTTTTGAAGTTTTTTAACTTGTTGTTGACATGCCTTGTAAATGTGGTAATAACAGAAAGTAGAAATAAGTAAATTTGGAATAACCAGGATAGATATAACGTAAAACGAAAATCCAACATCCTGACTCCAGTGAAGTCGACACTCGTATGTTTCTTTACTAAATTCATAAGAACCCCATCCAAACAATGATGGGATGAAGATGATGAAGCTTAAAATCCACACGCCTAATGACGCCAGTCTAGCACGTTTTTTAGTGACGATTGTGTAGTACCTTAGCGGTTTTGTCACCGCGATATAGCGATCAATGCTGATGCATCCTAGTGTCATTATAGACACCCCTACTACCACGGCCAGCGAGAATCCAACTGCTTTGCAGAAACCGAAGCTGAATGACCATTTTTCGGCAAAGACTGCTTGAATTGAGAACAAACAGCTGATTCCGACTCCAAGATCTGCAATTGCTAGAGATGTAATGAATACGCTGGTTGGATTTCGTAGTGATGGCGTGTAATGAAACACGGTGATAACAATAAGGTTTCCTCCAATTATCAGAATCATGGCAGTGAATATAAAAGTTGTTATGAGATAATGATTCGGTTTAAAAGCTTCATCTCGCATAACATCAATAATGGCTGTGCTACTCATCCCAGTCACTGATGGCTCTGCTGAGGTAATGTCAATAAAATCTGTGGTATTCATCCCAAATGCTGATTGATCAGTCATCACAAGAGCTGGAGGATATTGTCTGTGCTTCGATACCTTAATTAAATCAATTAAAGCTTGCTCCGTTCCCTAATTTTCAGATCTGATGATATATCTCGTCTTCATCGCGTGATACTGCTGATAAGCTTCCACAGAACTTGTTGATTAATGAAAATGTTCAGGAATGTTCTGAAACTAAAAATAGCACAGAGTTAACTCCATGTCATTTATTTTATGTCTGTAAATTTTAATGTCAATAAAATGCTAATTATCAGATTTGCAGGTATCTAAATCAATCCATAGTGAGAAAATCGCTATAGTAAAATCTGTTTTGTTTTGGTTTCTGATAGCATTTTCATTCATTCTTTCATAACAGAATTTTATCAAAAAATAATTGCACTTGCTGTAAAAAAATGAATTTTTCAATCCTATGTCCTCCCTGTCCAGTGTCCGTCATACTAAGTATTCCAATATTTTCCCCCTCATCCCATCATCTATTGTTTCTTGTTTTTGCTTTTTGTTGGTATGTATTGTAGGCAATTTATCTTATAGTAATTTATTGTCTATCAGGAGGGCCTCATTGCTTGATGATCTACAGCATGGGTATTAAATGTTATTAGTGGTCAGTTGGACAGGCATTGATTTCACTGTCACCTGTTGCCATCATCATACTAATCAAACTAAAATATAAATTTGCCAATCCAACCAAGCTGTTATACCGTTTTCTAATTTGTATGGTAGTTTAAAACTTACCTTTTAATGTACAAAACATATTTATGATTATTAACATTTAATATCAATTATTACTTATAGTTTAATATATATCATTATAATATTGTTGTCTGCTTTGCCATTATTATATCAATATAATTTATCATTATCCTTATATAATCATTATTATTTGTTATCAATTATTGTTGATAATGTTATTTCATTTAATTATTTGAAAAGAAAAGTACAATATACTGTAATGATTGTAGTAAACACATGCAGTATGGCATTCAAACAACCCATTATAATATTTATATTGTGTTGTTTATTTTTAACATGTAAAAATGACACTTTATATATCAGGTAAAATAAAAATTTGAAATTTTAAATGTTTATTGCATTAATTAATAACATGATTTGATTTCTTAGACATCACTCTGAATAGGTTAATTTTGATCAGTCCTTGGATTTGTGGCATTCAAGCACAGCCCAACCATGAAGGAAATATATGGCCCAACTTAGTGATATTGATTCTTTCAATCTCCTTTTATCATGGAGACTTTAATCCCAACAGAATGAAAGACAGATGCAATAGGTCAATCCACCCTGGTCAGTGATTATCCAGTAGCATTGGTCGCCAATCCTGCATTACCTCATTGACTACCAATATGTCGCACATCCTGTACAAATGGATAAGTTAAAACCTAATATGCATCAGTATTAAGGTATTTAGGCGGCTTAACCGTTACACTCGTGCAAACATACTATACTGTCACTTTTGTGAATCCTATGGCCACTGTTTTGTATTCAGTGCCCTTGAATATGGCTTACTCTTACTTGAATTATTATCAAGCCAAGAGGCATGTTTTGAAATCACCAAAATTAACTTTGTCCCAATAGAAATATTACTATATTTTGGCTGAATTTGAAAAAAAAAATTAGAATACTGCAACTCCTTTTGTCATGGAACCAAATAGATGTGTCTATAATGCAGTGCACCCTCCAATCCGAGACCCCTCTAATTCCAGGACACCTCCAATTCAATACCAGTTTTTCAAAGTACCAATTTTTAACCTTTTACAGTAGCACAAAGCTAACACTCTAAATGGAGACCGAACCTAGACACCACCCCAAATTTTTAGGTCCCAAAGAGAATCTCTAATCGGAGGGCAAACTGTACACTTTTACAGGATTTTATATTCCTTGGGTCTATTTCCTTGAGTTTATTTCACAATTGTGCAGAAACTACAGCAGACCTTTTATGATCATAAGTCAAAGTTGAAATTGTAGTAGGTACTTGTAGCTCCTGAACCAAGATGAAGATCTTAGCCTACCGATCCTGAGGTCTGAGGTTCACCAGCTATGTTATGATAATATGCTAGAGTTATTTAGTGAAGAGTTTTGGAAGTGGACAGATGAAACTTGAAGATAATTCTATTCTCATTGGAAAGTCAGTGTAGGTCTGGGTCATTTTTAGTTTGTCACAGACCAGAGTAACAATTATGATTATATATGTAGTTGGATATAACCAGATTATTGTTTGATATAATTACATTGAAAATTAGAGATTTGAATTTGAGATTTTTTTTTTTTTTAGAAAAAAAGAGCTTGACCATAGACTCTGGGTACATGGAATTTAAATTAGAAATTAAATTGTTCTAGAGTACCGTGCTTCTCTCTTTCTCCTTTATATACCTTTGTTCTCCCTTTAATTTGGTGGGCCCTGACCCCCGCAACACCCTCCCCCACAAATCCACCCCTGTTATACCGCTGTGTGTTGTTTGATGTTTATTGGTAATACAGAATTTTTATGGAATCCACTCAACATATTTTTCTTTTATAGATAAATAGTCGATATGACTTTAAAATGCATTTTTTAATTACTGTGTCACTACCTTTAGTGACTATGTTTACATTCTACAAATATATACTGTATGCTGCATCAATATCATTGATATTATGTGCAGCAATCTTTTTATGCTGTACTGTATGTTCTAATTCTCCTTTTCTTGTTATTTAATTTTATCTGGATGGACAATTTTTTAAAAATCCAATGCAAAGAAAAAATAAATGGAATACTGTAATATATATTTAAAAAAAATAATAATAAATAAAAAAAAACTTTTTCCCAACCAAAGAATTTTGTGAAAATGATGCAAAAACAAAATATTTCTTTGTTTCATCAAGATTCAGATTTTATCCGTCATAATTGTAGTATCCTGTTTCCTGAGCCTGCGCCTAATCGCCATATGGCCTGAAGATGTAATATATTATAATATACTTTTCTATATTTATATATTATATCTCTATTATAGTTTTTAGTACTTTTACCAATTTGCTATATGCATTTTCTGTTCAAATCAGAACACTTGAGTGCAGTATTCCCATGCAATTTACTTACCTTTTAAATAGATGTATCCTGAGTTAATTACAAAACATAAGTAACTATTTAATGCTGACTGGTTCACACAATGTCCCAGGCCTTGTCCAATGCTTTACAGGTTTCTAATGTATAGATAGTACTTGATATTTCTAATGTTTTCCTCAATGTTGTGTACTTGTTGTTGCTGCTACACTACTCTATACACTCTGTTGGCGTCCTGTGGCCTTCTGAAGCTAGCTTCAGTTAGCATTAATCCTTGATGACTTAGGAGTGGGTGGAGCCAACTAATTTGATTGACACTGTTAAATCAACTATGTAGAATCTACTGTTATAAAGCAATGTTGCTGAAAATTGTTTTCTATTCCCTTGGCCAAGTAATCGCTATAATAAATCACTATGCTATGATCTTTATGCGTAGTATTACAGTTGATTTGCTACGCTAGCGAGTCACTATATATCCAAGTTAGGATAAACAATTTTTTGTTCTGTGTTTGTAAATGAGAGTCGATGAAAGATATCAGATAATAAATTTGATTGGTTTTCACACCTTATCGGTAGAACCTGATCTATTTTAAGAAATGTAAGTGTCAAGTGTTTGTCATTGTGTACTCCAATGGTCTCATCTTTAGTCTTTTTATGGCAATTGTTGTATAAAAATTCCAGTCCAGCCATAAAGATTTTAAAACCCATGAGGTTGGGTTCACCTTGCCATTAAATTGAATGAAAGTTGCTATGCTTGTTACAATACTCATCCTCACCTGTTTGTTATTGATTTCAGAAGGTTGTCAATTATATGACCAAAATTATAAACTAATCCTCTAATAAGCAATTAGTAGAGCTCCGCATAGTACACTAAGGAAAATTATTATACGAAGGTTAGATTTAATGCTTGAAAAAATTTTAATTCAATTTTCATCGCTGTGCACATTATCTTCGTGGTGACGAAAAATTAGGTATTTCTTTTTTCACACAAACCTAAAAATAATCAAGCCAAGCGTCCACTATTGAAAAATTATTGGACTCTGGGGATAGGCAAATAACACTGGGAGTTGCAGTGATGACATCACGGTTGAAAAAGAATTATTGAACCAGATTTATCAAACTTGTTAAGAAAATCAATCGGGTTTATCAATTTTACCTGGCAAAAATATTTGCCTAAATTTGTCTAAAATTTTTAAAAATGTAAAATGAACTTAATGAAATATGAAAATCTTCAACTTATCTCATTGTTCTGATGGCGAACCCTAGATTACATTTATGAGTGTGACACACCCAAAACTCATTACTGAAAAGGCTAACAGAACCTACTCGCACTGTTTGACAAAACATGGTACCAGACCAACGTGCACAAAGAAAAAGCTTATTCTCAAATACTTCCCACTGTTTTCAATGTTTATTTCACCTACTAATGTTTAAAACATCACAAAAAATGTTCTCGCTAACAAGAAATTATCATTTGTGTACCGGCTTGACGTATACATGTGTGGGTGAATTGTGAATTGTTCTAGGTATTACACATGTGCAAGTCATTTTATTTTGACTCAAGTTCAAAGTTATTGCTAACATCAAAATTGTTTATACACATGCATCAATATAATATTAAACTACTGTAAAATCAATGCCAAGATGGCTTGATAAGTAAACACAAGTAAAAAGTTTTTGCTCAACTTTTTATGGTATTACCTAAGTTGAGATTAAATCCCAGGCCTCCACAACCCAAAAAAGGCCAAAAAAGTTGGTTTATAATGTAGGCCTACAATTTTGGGGCAACTGAAGGTGTGGAGGTGAAGGTGAGGTATCATCATGCACAAGCCTATTTTGCATTATGAAAAATCTTGAAAATATTCATTAAAGCATATGACCTATTTGTTGGAACATTCAACCACTAAACTACAGCTCCCCAAGCGATATCTCCATGGTTACCATGCTCACTATTTTTTTATTACTACTACTAAAAAAGAGGCAGAGAAGTAATCTAACCCCTAGGAGTGTTTCTCTTTGTGAGTTTTTTAAGGAAAATTTTCAATGACATGTGGATAATTGGTTGATTTTTTTTGTTTGCAGTTCTAAGAATTATAAATCCTTTAGTTGACCTACCACTGATATATTGCTGTGTTTTCCATTTATTTTATTGATTTATTTATCCTATTTTAGTGATGCAATGAACACATCACCAAATGTATTTTATAGGTTCAGAAGGCCAAGACATTGAGCCATATAAATATCTTTTCCACTGTTTAACATTATCAGTGGCACAGCTTTCTGGGGTTAGGAGGACATACCCCCACTACAAAAATGTCAACCTGTTGTTTCAGGTAAATAAAAATAATAAAAACTTGTAATATAATTATGTTATAATCTGTTTTTTATCTGAATAAGAAGTTAAAAATGTTAAATTTATTCTGTGCATTTTGTAGTATTATAATATTTAGTAATGTATTGTTTTCATTTTCTTAAAGCATGTACTGTATTTCATATATTACCTCTAGTTTAGGTATATTTTTCTTATAAGAACCAGTAAAATTTTGATCAGGCTCATTTTTCTTATTTTCTGCTGATTTCAGGCTCAAAATGTTCTCATTTTGTTCTTATTTTTAAACACTTTTCAAACATACTGTGAGAGTATTACAGTACATAGTCATATCTACTGCAAATAAGATATATTTATTGTTTTTTCTGTTTAAAAAAAATACCTACTGCAAATAAGATAGATTTATTGTTTTTTCTGTTAAAAAAAAGAAAAACCTACTGCAAATGAGGTAGAACTTCATTTGACATACCTCAGCCTCAATTTGCTCTTATTTTGTTCTTAATTTTAAAGCAATTTCAGCCCCAGTGTTTTTATTTTTAAAAAATTATTTACCGTGGGTTAGGTTCACAGGGAGGCACACAAGCTCATCCCCATCAGAAAAAGTTTTCGCCTTTCCCACTGAAAATATTCTGTGTAAAAAATGACACTACCTAGTTAGATAGAAATTGCATCATATCACCAAATTCTCCCAGCTATAATACATCCATCACATTTTTCCATAGGCAACTACTGATCACCTCAGATATTGATGTCAGATTATATACCACCTCTGCTCTTAGACTCCGCTATCGTGACTTCTAGGCAGTACCCCTGTTTCCCAGCCTGAGTGGGTCAATATGGCACCATCCCATCCCCATTAAGTTAGAAAATGAGTAATATTGTTTAGCTTTCATCCTGATGTTGAAGTATAAACATCCTTGGCCTGATCTAGTGCCAGCCTCCTTCAAATACAGTACTGTTTGTTTGACCTTAGATGCACTATTATACCACATGACTTTTTCCAGCACTGACATACTTCCTGCTAGGTTGACTTTTAGACATAAAGTTAATTTTTTTCAAGTTTTCTTTTATTTCCTCCCACCATATTTATGTTAGTACAAGGCAATTTGTACATGATTGATTATTTGGTGTGAAATCCATAATTCCATGTAACTTATCACAGCTCTTGTGTTACTATGGAAACGACCACATTGCATGTGTGGTTATGAACCCTGTTCTAACAAGGCTCTAATCTGCCATCAGTTAATCTGGCAGTTAATTAGCCCACTAACCTTTTAAATTGATTAGTATGGTTGTTTTATGTTTGCATCCCAGTAAAGATTTAATCAGAGATAGTCTGCAGGAGATTGAGTCAGTTTAGAATTCTCTCAGTTGATTGACTCATTCCAGTGTTTTTATCTCTGTCATAAAATGTATTTCCATTAGATATAGAATGGTGGTAGGGACTGGGTCCTAAGTTTAGTGTACACGTAACGATCCTAGTCGTGGTCCGTCGTCTATAATAAACCAAGATTCACTTACTCGGAATTGTAAACATAGATAAGAAATTGTACCTTACTAGGTCCAAATGTCACATATGTGAGGAGGATGTAAACAAAAGAACAATAATGTGAACAAGGAGATGGAGATTTCAAATGTGATAATGATAGAAAGATTAATAATTTCAAAAGAAATAATTTTTCTGATTTGGTAACCTGCTATTTTCCAAATTGTAGTTTTCTGATTATCAAATGCAAACTTGGACTATAATAAGGCGCATTATACAAAGTCTCAATGTGCCAATTTGAAGGAGTCTCGAAGAAAATTAGCAAAATGAACAAAGGGAGAAAACAGTATATAAAGAGAAAAAGCAGATAACAGAAAAGAAAACAGAAAATTAAAAGTAAAAGCTTGGTAAAAAGTTAGAAAAAAAAAACATTAACATTTGTTTTTCTTCCTTTGAAAAATTATGATAAAAGTTTTTATATTTTTTTTTAAATATTGTTTTTATTTATTCATAGTACAGTATCTGATGACATAATTAATGTCAAAATATTGAATCTCAACATGATGGCGTGGATTTCAATGCTTTGCGTGTGTATTATTCTTTCTAACAATATCCCCCTGCTTTCAGAAAATAGAAGCTAAGGTTTGTTGGGTAAGGTGATCTTAAATTACTTGCGTTTTTGGTTAAATTTATTTTCTTTTCTGCTAAATCATATACTAGTCCCTTAATTAGACTCTTAATTAAAGTTCAATCCATATTCAGCCTCACAACAACAAAACTACTGGTCAAGGGTTAGTGAAATAGCCTTAGGAAAGGCTGGACTAAACTGCTCATTTACAGTAATTAAGAACTTATGAGCATATATCGGAGGAATGCAAATCTCCACTGAGTCATGAATAGTGTATTACAAATATATTAAATACCTTACACATGAAAAAAATATTAATTTCAATTGAAGAATATTTTAATATTTAATTATTTTAATATGATAATAATATATATAATAATAATATTATATTTTGATACATTTTATATTACATTTTTGTTTTTAAAATATAATTATTTTAATATTATAATAATATATATAATATATATAATAATAGTAATATATTTTGAAGTTATTAAAATATAATATTCATAATAAAAATTATTTTGAATTGAAGAATATGTTAATATTTAATTATTTTAATATTGTAATAATATATATAATAATTATATTACATTTTGATATTTTTAAAATACAATATTCATATTAAAAATTATTATTTTATTATATTTTAATATTATTTTAACATTTTTGTTTTAAAAAGTTTTTTTATGTACAGTACCTGATATTTCTGCACATGGAATCTCATGGATATTTCTGCCCATGAAAAAAAATATTAATTTCAAAAATATTAATTTCAATTGAAGAATATTTTAATATTTAATTATTTTAATATTA